GACAAGCCAAAAGTTTCCTTCAGACCTATTTAATCTACATATAAAACATTAGAAATTAAATTGATTTTGTGTTTGACTGTTAAAACAAAATAGTTGTTGTTTGTCTCAATACACTGGGTTAATTTAAAAATACAGTAGTTAAATTTAAAAGTTTTTTTCTATCTTTGTATTAAAAAAGGTTATAAAAAAAGTCAATAATTATCGAGACCGAACGATATGAAACATTATATCGTTGATACATTTTTTAGCTATATCGCCCAGCCCTACTTCTGATTGCACTACAAGAGCTTGTTGTTGTTGCTGCTAAAGTAGGCCAAAACCAGAGTTTTCCTACTTTCACCTTGTTTCGAAACCCTAAACGACATTCACGCAATCCATATCCGCACCTCCTTCCCTTCTATCCATTTCCATCACGGTGGAATGGAAGAATGCCATAAACGCAGAAGTTCTTCACAAACGCGGTTATAAATGCACATCTTGCACAGATTTAGCCGTTTTACACAGCTACCACATTTTCTCGAAAGATCAATTATGACGTGACTCAGACCGAGCCTGAGGGAGCTGCCAAACTTCATACATCGAAGACTGCTTCACCCTCCCTCCCGACGACTGCAAACAAAAAAACTCCAGCAACACAGATGTGAGGAGGCTGGGGGTGTATTTTCAGTTACATCGGTGACTCAAAGATTCCACCAAATTCGCCAAAAAGAAAAAAAAAAAAACTCAAAAAGGACTTGCATAAGGATCCAGATGCAGCATGCGTCTCCTGGAGGCTGTACAGGACGAGGCCAGACACAGAGCGATCCTTACAGAGGCACTGCAGGGGCAACTAAATCCAGCCAGGAGAGTTTCTTAAAAATATATATCCATCTATGGACAAGGTTCCTTTATTTGCTCCGTTTCAATCTCAGCATTAACTGCACTAATGTGACAGCTGTGGGTCACTGGACCGTCTTCGGGGTGCCAATCAAGACCTTAAGCCCGGGAATCAGGCTAAAGGACAGGGGTGCTCGTCTGTTTCTGAGAGGCTTTTTAACGGGAGATGGCCATATCGATTTTAGCCGGGGTGGGAACGCTGTCTGAATGGAGTCCGTCGGTGGCTCCCTGGTCACCCCCGAGTGATCAGAGGCCTGACGGAATGACCTAGCAGAGGTGCAGTGAACCTGCAAACATGCAGGGCAGGAGGGGAGCACATCACGAGAGATCACTGTAATAGAAAAGGGGTTTAACCTTAATGTTAAAGCCAAAACCCTGTTAGAGGGCCTGTAATCCCTCCCACTCAACTCTCATTTCAAGTGCTTTTCTGACTGGAAAAGGCAGCATTGTGTTCAGGTTGCGTTAACGCTCTCAAAGATGCATCAGCGTACCGTTAATCCAAAGCGTGGGCCTCAAATCTACATCTTATTAACAGACAGGCGCCACTTTCCAATCTATTATTCTTCGCATAGTTCAAACCCCAGCGCCGTTTCCCATAATGCCCACCTTGCGGATGAAAAAACACTGAGCTGATGGTCAATGAGAACAATCAGAAATGCTAATGGCGTGTTAAACCTATAGCTCACAGATGTGTAGATCACCTCTTCTCTGAGGTAATTTAAATAAATTTTACACACATAAATCTGCAGAGCTCCAAAAGGGCTTCGGCACTTGCGAGGACGCTAATTGAAACGCTGGGAATTTTTCCATATGAAATATGTCTACACCAAGACAATGAGGAAATAATTAGCACAGAGGTAGAATCACAATGGCCATTTTAATCAACCCCTCCGCTAGCATTTCACCCTATTTATTCCAGTTTTGATTCCATGACCCACGGCTAAGTAATCACTTGAAAATTACTCCTCTGTTCTAATGGGCTCTTGCGTCTGAGGAACACGTGGTCTGAAAAATTAGCATCTTGAATCAATCAACTCTTTCCGCCCAAAATGATCGAAATAAAGGCACTCTTCAAAAGTGAACGCAGGTGAAATGCATGTGTACTCTCTTAGAAATATTGGTTTGATTTTGAGAATTAATAGCAAAGCCTAATCATGAAAGTCAACAATAAATACCTGATCCTAGACCTAACATAACCCCTGATAGGGCTGTGCGATTAATCGAAATCGCGATTTGAGACGTTGCGATTTCCTAATCGCAAAGCTGAGTGAGATCACAAAATTCTTGACATAACGGAGAGGCGTTGTCTGTGCACAGAATTATATAAATGCTAAAAATTACTGACAATCATGTGAATTATTCAGTGATTAAACACCTCTTGATCATTACATCATTCTCTTGAAATTCATTCAGGACAGAACAAGCTTTTCTGTCATTCAGCAAGGAGGCTGCCACATCCCACACATATGAGACTCTGTGAGAATCTGGATGTGTAATGCATTTGTTCTGTGTGATTGTACTGTACTGTCTTCATTGCAGCCTAACAGATCAGTGTGCAATTAAAAATGACACCGATAGCTCCAGCATGTTCAACCATCCTCCATTTCTGTTCGCCCATGTAAGTAAACGGACAATGCTGAATAAGCGTGATTCATCTTTAGTGAAGCTGAAGCTTGACTTTACAAATTTAAAATCGCAAATGAAATCGCAATCGCAATATCTGTCAAAAAAAATCGCAATTTGATATTTTCCCCCAAATCGCACAGCCCTAGTTTCTAGCACGGTCCACCAGATTTCCACACAATGGGACTGTGGGAAGTGGGTGTGTCAGGACTTTTCCCCCTCCAAAAACAAGTGGTGAGCATTTTCCAATCACATCCTTTGTTTCAAATCTTTGTTTCCCTAATTATTTCCAACCGTCTCAGTGATGAGTGAGATTTTCCATCACTCCACATCCATCTGACCTCATTTGCATAAAACAATGCCTTGAGTTAGTCAGTTCAACAACTGAGCTTATCCAACTTCAATCTTACATGCGGAACAACAACCTCCAAGATGTTATCAAGCTCAACATTTTAAAGTACAGAGCAGAACAAGTCCCTATGATGCAACCCCATGCTTTACCAGGTAAGAAAGCTCCTATTTCAGTACAATCAAGTTCTCAGCCGTGATTTCCAGATCCAGGCCAACCAAGGCCAAACCACAATGGGATATCCTTGCTCACTAGGCTTCTGAGACTTTGGCAGGAGAACAACTGAAAGTAACAACTTCACTGCAATAGAAAGACGCTGGTTCAATTTCAGTACATTTTCTTTTAATCAACACACACTTCACTCAAACTAATGCCAAGACTCAATGCTTCTGCACCTATAGCATTATTTTACCAACTAAAAGAAGCAAGCAAAGCACTTACATATAGATTATTCATTATCATAATCTCAAATCAAAGCTACCCCCAAAGGCAAAGAATATCAGCGCAGCAGTAAATACTGAAATCAATTATCCCAGTAAACGTTTTAAAATCACATCAGTGTTTTTTTTAGATGTAAGCTTCAGTTTTCAGTGGCGCAGAACTGTAGAAAATGCTGACAAAGGTTGATGTTGGTTGATAATCCAAATAAGATTGGATCACAAACTCTTTGAAGTTTATGGCAAAGTACTGACTTGTAACATGAGAAATGCTTTATATCAGATCAGTTTCATATACGTATCACTGACTGATAAAAAAAAAAAACGTTCAAAACTAGATATTTCTGATTCAATAAAACCGTTAAGGAAACTGTTTTTCTGTAGATATGGCATCGGTTACACTGCTTTAGTTGTAGAAAGTGAAAGTTACGATTCATTCTCAGTCAAGCGAATACTAAACTTTCGAGCAACATTCACCAAAAATATGCATAAACAAGTGTCACTGGAGTCTGGCCAAGGATGTCAAGCATGTTTGGATTACATGACTCACACATTTGTTAACACTTACTTCTAACAAGATCATCATGGGTGTAGTTCTCGGTCATGTGATCCTGCCCGTCTGAAGTGAATCTCGGAATCTCGGAATCTCCTGGTATCGGAGTTTGGGATGTTTCTGTAACATCTGAGGATTCATCAGTGCAGCGGTTGCATTTATCTGGACAAAAGAAGAATACATTTAGATTTTTCTTTAGAAGTTTTGCTCTACTTCACAGCTGCCTGGAAGCCAAGCATGCAAAAGGCCAATGCTGAGGTTCATACTGGCTCGCCTCAGTATCAAGAATAGAAAGACGAGCTCTAATTTGCCAGATAAAACACATTCCTTTGGTGAACGGTTGCAAAACCATGTGGGCGGATCAGGTAGGCCTGGGCCAGAACTCTGGATCTCATTTTCTCGATTCTGCTCCCGGGTACACTATACCTGCCAAGGTTTTTACAGCTATAAAGAGCGCATTCATCTAAATTGGAAAATGGTTGTGAGCAAAACCTGCCTGATAGGCATACAAAAAGATAGGCAACCTTTAAACGCTGCACTTAAACTTACTCAGCTCTAAGTCCATAGAGTAAACGAGGCGGTATGCTTCTCCAATTCATTCTATTTGAGGCGGCCTTCGATGTGGCCGCACTCATACGGAGGCAGTAGGCAACCACTCATTTATTTAGTACTGTCAAAGCAGTCCTGTTACACAAACCTGTGTTTTTTCCATCACTCAACTGCATGCTGGGAATAAAGCATGTGACTCAGCAAACAGAAGCGTGTTTTCACTTTTGGTGAGACTGGAGTGTTTCGTTTTGGGTTTTTTCCTTTCTACAGCCCTCGTTACAGCATATTATGGGACAAGATCAATACGATACAGTAGCTCTAGATACAGAGATTGATATCAGTTCATCTGGGCTTGAGGCTGATGAATGGAAACCCTTTATTCCAGCCATGACTCCTCAAATGCACATACAGTACCAGCAGCCTTGTGATGCATCGCTGTATTTAGTGATTACAGTTTGAAATAAATTGCTCTATTCTCCAAGCATACACAGTCCCCGGGGAGGGAAATCCAGTCTTAACGGAGAGACTTTGAAGGCCCTACAAAAATCCATTTGTCACCGGAGCCTGTGATTGCTTACTTTGTCCTACTTTGCCATTTTTTGACAGTGCTATAATGATGCTTGGTATAAATAGGATGGTTAACGGTTCAGTGCCTAAGAAAAAAGAAAAAGAAAAAAAAAAAAAGAAGAGGGGGGCCAAGCTTATTTTACATGTGATAATCTCACAAGCAACTAGAAAGTTAATTAAAAGCTATAATTGGCAGTGGTTCCTGCTAATAGTTACCAAGGCGCTCCTTCAATCTTTATTGTAAAATAATGAAAACATTATCATGTCTACTGGCGCAACATACATATGGGGAATCTGTTTGTTAGTTGCTATTTATGCAAGTCAGTTACTTGTGGGTTCAGCAAGAATGGGACACCAGGTAAAGTGGGACAAATAATCGATTTTATGATCAATTATCTTTAAAAAAATCAGGAGATAAAACAAATGTAATAATTAGTAATAACTGTCAAAAAGCAAATGTTTTAATTTGCCTGATGTTATTACAGTGGGCATTGTCAAAATGCTCTTTTTAAATATAAACTTCTAAAAAAAAAAAACAATGAAAAAGAAAAAAGAAAAATATAAATAAAAACAAACTGCTCTAAACATGTTTTGTACTATTTAACTGCAGCTATGAATTCAGTTCAATTTAACACATATTTGCTATAAATTCAAAATCATTGTTTGACTTTTGCTGATGATTTCACATCTTAGCTGAAAAACAGTTGTAAGTGAAATATAGTGACAAACACTAAGTGTTCAAATACCTATAATGATCACACTGAAGCCATATTAATAATTGTTTGGAGATTGTCATAGCATCACATTAAAAAGAACTTTAAGGCTTTTATCAGTTCTTTATTATGCAAAAACTCACACTTTTGCATAGTCCAATACTAGCATTATGAAGTACAGTTTACAAATATGCATCCATCATTAAAGGGGTCATATGATGCGATTTCAATTTTTCCTTTCTATTTGAATCGTCGAATCAGCCGGCCGCGCCGTGTGTGACGATGTGTAACGTATTTTATGGAGGACTGTTTCCTGAACCTGCAGAGTAGCCTATGAGCAGTGTAGAGTAGCGCTTGTTGTGTGTCGTTTCTCCGATCACAAATGCAGACATGGTTTTATGTTTATGTGGCGCGATAAGCAACGCAACGCATAAAAACACAGTATAAGCTATTATAATCAGTAATTATGTCCCCACTGGATGCAACAAATGCCTCGTTTGTAATGGGTTTTATTGGTTTTGACTCGTCGTGCCGGGAGACACAGCATCACAGTATGTTAAGGGGAATAACATTTCCGTCACACGCTTGAGGTATCCAGCCAATCACAACGCACTGGATAGCTGGCCAATC